CGTGATGCCGGCCCTCGATGTACATGCAGGCGCGAGTGAAGCGGGGAGAGCAGGGAGTGACGCGAGGAGACCAGTAACTAGACCATATTATACCATGTAACGCAGACGCGGGAGAGCAGGGTGACCTAAGCGGTGGTGCCACAAGAGTGTCGGTTGGGTGAGGGAATGACATGAGCAGGACGCAGCAAACTGGGTGGATGCGGCTTCCTCGGGGGACTCTGTGTGCAGTGTGAAGAGACCGGACACAGGGCCGCATTCAAAGGTGGTAAGATGGACGCCCGTGGTGGCGTCCTTATAGGCTGCATATCTCTCACGACCAGGGAACGTGGTGGTGGCACCGAGGTCCTGGATATGGCCAACACCAACCAAGTTCCTGGAGAAGGTGGGGACATGCAATCCGGTAAGGGAGCCATACGTGAGAGTCTGACAAGGGAGAGAGGTGGTACTGCGAGCGACGACTGTGGCAGGCGAGTCAGCTAGGGAGTCTGGAAACTGGTGCAGGAAGCGGTGTGAGTGAATTGCGGTCTCCGAAGAAGCAGTGGGATGCACCAGAATCCACACTGAAGGAGAGGGCAGCCTCATTAGGGGCCGACAAGGAGCCTGGACTACACAAAGCAGAGGATCCTAGACAGGGCCAGAGATTTCATGAATTTTCTCCTGATTTTGCTGATTTTCTGGGTGTTTTGATGTATCGACCCTGAATTTTCAGCCTAGGGGAGGGGATGGACCCTGATTTTTCAGGGTCGTTTCATGTAAGGACACTGATTTTTCAGAGTGTGATTGTGGGTCGACACTGATGCTTCAGTGCCATATCGCGTATGCACCCTGAAACAAGATCTTCTGAAATCAGCAGAAATTTCCCTGCCAATGGCAAGAGTGCCCCCCCTCCCCTCCCCCCTGGCCCTTAGCCAAGATCAGTGCCCGGTGTGTGAGGGCGCTAACTGGCCCTTCGACAAATTTGCCCCATCGGCCTCCCGGATAAATTTGTCGAATGGCCAATTAGCGCCCTCACAATGTGAGGAGTGGTAGTGTGAGGGCGCTAATTGGTCCTTCGCCAGATTCAGCGTGTGACATGTACTGGAGTCTGAGTGAGGGCCTTGATTGGTCCTTCGCCAGATTCAGCGTGTGACATGTACTGGAGTCTGAGTGAGGGCCTTGATTGGTCCTTCACCAATTTTGCGGCTTGTGAGGTTGGGCAAGGCTGACGTGTGGAGGGTGCTGGTTGACCCCCACCAACCACTTTGCGAGGGTGCTGCCTGCCTCCCCGAGTCCCGTCCCTTCAATTTCATTCTTTGTCCCCTTCCCCCCGCGCCTTTCAACCCATCCAAGTTTTGCCCTGTTTGCGACCTTGGCTTGGACCCCACCGTCCTTCGACCCGACCGACCAAGGTCCTCGGGAGTTGAGAATCAAATGTTTTTGTTTCCTGCTGTGGCATGTGAAGTTACGATTGTCGTGGCACTGGGATAACCCTGTTGATCCTCTCTCTATCTCTAGGGAGGGTACTGGGGAGGCTTTCCCCAGGGAAGGTGGATATATGGAGCCTAACCCTCCTGATGACATCCCTTTTTGTCCAAGTGGTTAGGACTGGTGACTTTATGGCAAGGGCCAGGGGTGCGTGAACAAGCAACCACTCGGCTGAAATTTCAGATGTCGAATTTTGTTTCGTCCGTAAAATTTCAAAACGAAAGGGCCTAGCGAGGACCATGGAGACAACGTAAGGCTATGGTTCTTGTAGATCACTTTGACGCTCAGTTCGAAATCAGGATGGCGACCCTTTTGGACAAACTTTCGGGAGCAGAAGTACTCCTCCGGATTGGGTGCGAGCTCTTGAAAATCTCTCACATGATCAATTAGGCTACGAAACAATCTACAGGAACCACCACGCCCTAATGCTCTATGCTCTATGACTACCGCACATGACTTGACTTCAAACAAGTGACAGGAAAAATTCAGTGTCCGATGCGAACACGACCCCGACAGCATCAGTGTCGAAACCGGTACCGACCCTGAAAAATCAGGGTTGTGTCCGGTACTGACCCTGACGGAAAGTTTTTTCTTTTAAGTCGACCCTGATCAATCAGAGTGGTTCAAAACCAATCTGAGGGTCTGATCCTAGACTAAGCACAGCAGAGCAGAGACTTCTAGACTACACACCATAGGATAATAACAAGAGTCAAAAGCACCATAATTTTCTGAATACACATAATATATGGCATAAGCTATTTGAGTCATCTCTAACTCAAACACCAGGATAACCCGACGAATAAGAACAAGCCACTCCGGATGGGTCACCTGGGGCCCAAAATGTCGATGGAATAGGTCGTCCAGGCGGCAGCAGCAGCGAGCGGTGGCATGATTCGTCCTCAGAAGGCTGCTTCGGCATTGTTTGGCCGCTCAGAAGGCTGGACTGGATTTGGTATGTATAACGCACAGGAGCCCCAGGCCCGACGCCACCCTAGCCCCTAGAGGAGCCACGCGAGCCCCAGGGCTGCAACTGCCCCGGGGCCCAACCCATAGGGCCCCCACCACTGCCAGAGCCTCTAGTACCCCATTGCGGCTGCTGCTGCTGCTACTGCTGCTGCTGCTGCTGCAGGGATGGCTGCTGTTGCCTCTGAGGCTGCTTTTGCTGCTACTGCTGCTGTTGCGATGGCTGCTGTTGCTCTCCCTCCTCCTCCGCACCCGCGCCTCCGCTAGCTCCCGAGGCCTCACCAGTGCCCCGACCACTTGCCGACGCCCCACGACCACCACGACACTGGGAGAGCTTGGCCGAGCGGCCAGGCTGCTGCTGGTGGTTGGCGGCAGGCTGCTGCTGGTGGTTAGCTGGTGTCGAGCTGCTGGCGGTGGGCTGCTGGCGGCATGGTGCTGGTGGCAAGCTGCTGGCGGCTTGCTGTTGGTGGCAACCTGGCGGCTTGCTCTTGGCGGCTAGCTGGCGGCGAGCTACTGGAGACGGCTAGCTGGCGGCAAGCTAAGAGCAGCTAGCGAGCGGCTCGCAGCGGCGAGGCGGCAGCTGCTGGCGGCGAGTGGGCAGTGAGAGAGCTGGCGGCAACTTGCGTGAGGTGGGAGCCAGCGAGCTGGCGGTGCCTGCTGGCAGCACACTGCGAGCGAGTGGCTGGCGGCAGCTAGCTGGCGGCGAGCAGGCAGCGACTAGCGTGCTGCTGGCGGTGGCGAGATGGCGGCGGCTGGCAGGCAGGCTGGTGGCAAAATGCGGGCAGCGCGACTGCACGGCAGAGCCGAGGCTAGGGCGGAGGCTAGGGCAACAGACTGCAGCCTAACTAGGCCTAAGGAGGTAGTAAGCTAGGGTGGGAGGGGAGGGGGTAACGCCTAGGGCGGAAGCGTGACGGTTAGGAGCTAAACCTGGCCCTATACCATGTCGAGAGAAATGGACTAAGGGATTGGGGCAGGGTCCTCCCTAGCCCTTTTCCACTTTCTGATGATCAGACGGGCCCGGATTTTATATATGTAATTTTTGAAAGCGTGTAGCGCTTTCTAAAAATGTGTATTGTGGTAGTGTAGCAAGGGCCAACGTAGCAAAGGCAGCGGCGAAGCGCACCTAACCCTCTTTTGCATTCAAAAGAGGAACGTGAGGCCTCTCGGCCTCACCCACGTTCTTCATTTCTAGTTCAACTCATTTGAGTTTCCCTCATTTGAGTTCCTAGTTCTTGTTTTTTGTTCTCGTCCAACCTGACGAAAACTCAGTCACTCCCACGCTTCAGGGCACCATCGACATTACTAACCGACATTTTGCAGCATAACCTATCAGCAATGACTCCCGCCAATTCTGCACCAACTCGCGAGGCGAACATCCCCGCAAATATCGGTGATCTCGGAACTTCGGACCGGGTAACCGACCGTCGCCAAAAACGCCCTGCTGAGGACAATTTTGGCGAGGGGACCTCGGGTGTCGATGTTCTGCTCGGCGCAACTCACGCCACCCCATAAGAAACACACGCGACTGCCAAGCAGCCGCGCGTGCAGTCAACCGTGGTCCACACGCCGAGCCGCGCCGCACCGCCCGCCGCCCAGGAGGGCCCCACCGTTCGGCACGTGCCTGCCGAGGAGCTCGCCCCACCCGCCGCCACCCCCGCTTTGACTGCGCAGCAGCTCCGGGCGCTTTTCGCGCTGTTACAGCAGCAGGCGCCTGTTACGCTCGCCACTTCTTCCGACAATATCAACGCTGCTACGACTAACTTGGCCAAGAAAAAAGAAATGGCAATGCCTCCTCGCGCCCCAAAGGCCCCGCGCATCGACGACCAGCCTCCAGAGACGCTCCCGATGCCCGCCATCGACATCGAAGACAGCGACAACTCCGGCAATGAAGATGGTGAGGCTCCGGTAAACATTGCTCGCCACCGCATTATTGCTTCCGCACCACCTCTTCCCCCCCTCGCCCCTACGCCCACCCCAACCACCTTCGTGCACAAGGGCGTACGTGATCAGGCTGAGGTATTCACTGCCATCCAAGCACACCTCAAGCACATCGATTACAAGCTGCAGCACAACGACGTCATCGGCGCGCTCAACAACGTCAAGCACATCGAGATGCTTATCGACAAGCGTTTCGAGGTGCTTCAAGTGGCGGACGAAGCCGGCTTCGAAGCGGCCGACCGCTTTCAGCTCTACCAGTCCAAGAGTGTCTTGACTTCACGCTCCTTCAAGCTCGCGGTCGCTGATGTCGCGGCACTCAAGCGTGTGCGCACCGGCTACACCCGCGGCGGTCCCCCCCCGTGGTCGTGACGGGGAAGAGGACATCAAGGGCTCTCCCCCCCTCACATGCTCGCAGGGCGTATGCTTCCGCTGTGGCCAGCCGGGCCACATGGCAAATGCATGCCCCATGGGCGGGCGTGGCGCGCAAGGCCCCCATCCGGTCGTATGAGCGTTTTTTATTCTTCTTCAAGGGCGGCGCCCTTTGCCCATGTGCAAGTGGCATATGGGGCCGCACCGGTGGGTGCGTGGCCGGTGGCCAGCCTTCGAGCAAGGCAAGGAAACCCAGCGGCCTAGGACTGCCCTAGGGGATGCGTAGGCCGTGTGCCTAGGACCATGGTAGAACCATGTAATTGTGTTTGTGTGTCGCCACGGCAAGTTGATTTCTAGTGGGAAAAAAAAAAAAAAAAAAAAAAAAAAAAAAAAAAAAAAAAACCCGAGTACGCTTGACAAGGGGGCTGGAAAGCCAAGCCACATGAAAACACATCGAGCAGCCGCCACAATGCATGTAAGGAGGCAAAAAAAAAAAAAAAAAAAAGAGGAGGGAGAGTACGAAAGAGCGGAGTAGCGGGGACCTGCAAACATGCCACGCATGCCACCCAAGAAAACGGGCGGCCACGATCAAGCCCACCAAGGACATGGCACAAAATCATGAGGGCAAGACATAAGGAGCCGCGAAAAAATGGAGAAGGAGAGAGAGAGAGGGAGCGAGAGAGAGAGTGAGAGAGAGAGAGAGAGAGAGAGAGAGAGAGAGAGAGAGAGAGAGAGAGAGAGAGAGAGAGAGAGAGAGAGAGAGGGAGAGAGAGAGAGAGAGAGAGAGAGAGAGAGAGAGAGAGAGAGAGAGAGAGAGAGAGCTATTAAGGCCCTCTCCTCCCAGCACATTCCTCATTATTCTTTTTAGCCCTTGGATAAGTCCTCTGGTTTTGGCGGCCAGCTCGCGCCGGCGGCCCATGGCCGCGCAGCAGGATTGGTGGAACCGATCAGCTTCAATAGGTAGAATATAGTATTAAACAACCAGCATCTCAGACAACGGATCCCGATTCAAACTATAGACATCACACGATTGCTCCTAGTTCGTAGCACTCCCAGCATCCTCTGTACCCCGCACACGGCGTGTTAAACCCGCTATGGGCGTGAAGAGGACAAAGACCCGACCGCTGTTCACTCCGGCGGGAGCAGTCGCGCCATCCCCTGTTGCACAGCGTGAAGAACTGCAGTGGAGCCCGCCGCAAGGCCTGATGCAGTCTCAGCCGACACAGCACGAGACAACGCGGTCACGGCGAGGGGGCCAGCAGCGGCCTCATTTACAACCACCCGCGGCGGCAGAGGCACATACACCAGACCCCACAGAAGCATGGCGACAGCCTCCTCGGCCCGAGCGCGCTGCCGACGTGACAGCACGGGTTCACGGGCCACAGGCGGACGACGCACAAGGGCGAGGTGCAGCACATCCAGCAACTCTGCCACCCAACCGAGGCAGTCCACGAGACCCAACAGCTGTTGCGAGCGATTATAATGTGGGCCATCCCTCACACGACGGAGCCGCGGTACCCGCGGAGGCGGCGAACGACGGAGTCGAATACCTCGTGGGAGCCCCACAGGGGAGGAGCCCGAGCTCCGATAGAGCTCACGAATGCTGGGCTCGGACAGTAGGCGGCGCCGAGATTGGCCTGACGCACCACGGCCAGGGATCTCCAACGCAGGCAGATGAGAGCCCGACGAGGCCTCCACAAGGGACGAGGGACCAACGGGGTGCTGAGCGTTCCACACACGTTGATGACTCCGCGGCGAGAGCAGCAGGTCCATCGATGACCCCAAAATATCAGCAGTAGTCACCCGATGAGAGGAAACCAGCGCAAGACGGCAACGCGGCGATAACGAGGCCCGAAGCCCGACGAATGGGCAGAGCGAACCAACTCGGGCACCAAGGGGGGCGCGCGAATCAGGGGGGGGAGACTCGGCAAGAGAGAGGACGAGGGCGGAGGGGTAGACGGCGGGGCACGGGGGGGCGGCTGGGTTTGCGCCTGTCGAGGTGGAGAAGACCGATGTCCAGAGAAGGGGATTGGAGGGAGCGACACGGAAGACCACTGAATGAGCCACCTGCCAAAGAACGAGGGGAGGAGGATGAGACTCACGGATCCAGTGGGGAGGAATTTGTAGGGGAAACACCGGAGGAATCAGAGGCAGGGGGGGTATCAGTGGGAACCTCCGAGGGGGAGGCAAATGGAGGCCAAGGACATCGAGCCCACCTCAGCGACCGTGCCAGACCGGAGCAGTGCCTGGGGTCCCAAGACCGAACCTAAACCAACCCCGCTCACCAGAAGACCTCGCCAATGATGAGGATCTCTGGAGGTTGGTCGCAGGGTGGGAAACCCCCAGGCTTGTGAGCTCCTGCCAACCATTCCTGGTCAGATATTTACCCCCAAAAATCCTGGAGATATACGCGGATTGCCTTCTGGTCCCGCTACTGCACATTCAATCAAACCCGGGCTGCCAGGGGGGCTCGCGAATGCTACAATTCCTTCCCAGACTCACGCTTCGACCCACGCCAGCCCACGAACCACGATGGCAATCCCTCTGCCACCGACTTCAGCAATTCAGGCGGGGGAACTGGGAGCAGCTATTCACCGAAGCGGCCGACACGGGACCCGACACACCTGCAGCCCGCACCGAACCCGACCCAGCAGGGCTCCGCGCGAAGGCTGAAGGCCTGGTTCGGAAGGCAAACCTGTCCAAAGCCCTTCGCGCGTTACACCCGTCACCGACCTCGCCACCCACGCCAGCAACACTCGAAATCCTTCGCCAGAAACACCCAGCTGGCGAAAGGGAAGTTGGGCAGGCCTTTGACCAGCCACCGGGCAACCACATCGCCGTTGAGGCAGAAGCCTTTCGCCGCCTATTGGCGAAATGCCCGAGAGGAGTGGGAGCGGGGCCTTCGGGCACCTGCTATGAGCACCTACGGGACCCAGCACTAGCCAACCCCCAGGTGTTTCTACTGCTACTACACGCCATCAACCTTCTGCTCCAGGGAGCCATAACACTAGACACACGAGCGGAGCTGCTGCCCTGTAAACTAATCGCACTCACTAAGCCGGGGGGTGGCGTGCGTCCTATCGCGATAGGCGAGACTCTCCCACGAATCACCGCTAAAGCCGCGCTACAAGAGCTTAGCTCGGTGATCCGTGCCTATTTCTTACCGTACCAATTCGGCGTCGCTGTCTCGGGAGGCGCGGAGTTCATCATCCACGTCGTACGGGCCCTGCTCCAGCTGTTCCCCACGCACGTGGTGTTACAGGTGGACGTGGAAAACGCCTTCAACAGCGTTCTCCGCCCCTGCTTCCTCGAGGTCCTGCGAGGAAATGGCCTGGACCCTCTCCTCCCACTTGCCCTTACACTCTACGGTACTCCATCCCAACTACTCCTGGACGCGGAATTCGGAGCAGAAGGCATCACCTCAAGCCGAGGAGTACGCCAAGGAGACCCGCTGGGGCCCCTCCTCTTTGCCACAGCCATCCAACCGGCCTTGACCACGGTAGCAACTGCCAACCCGGAGGTGACGATCCTGGCGTACGCCGATGACATCACCATGGTCGGGCCGCCTCGAGCAACAGCGGAGGCATTTGGGCAGCTGCAGGAGGCACTTCGGGTCTGCGGCCTCCGGTGTTCCCCAAGCAAATCCACCGGCTGGTCACCAACGCCAGCGAGCTGTCGACACCTCCCAGCCGGTATCACTCCAGCAGAAGGACTACGCGTCCTGGGCAGCCCGGTGGGAGACGATGGGTTCTGCGCCACATTCTTGCGTACGGAACTGCAACAGGCGGCTGAACCCCTACCCCTTCTGGCCGGACTCCACCCCCAGCACTCCCTCCTCCTCTTATCCGAGGGGATCTCTCGCCGAGCCTCCTTTCTGCTGCGGTCAACACCCGTAGACACCATCCCCCTAGCAGAATGGAGGAAGTGGAGCGAGAATCTGCTGCATACGGCACTGGCTGCAGCAAGGATCCAAGCCCCACGAGGAGAAATGGACTGGAGCCTAACCTGGCGGCAGGCGACACTACCCATCGCCCAGGGGGGGCTCAGCCTCGTCGACCCCACCTCGGAGGGGCCAGCGGCACACCTCGCCTCCCTCCTGGCCGCAACAAACCTCCTCACCACCCTCAAACTGCCGGAAGGACCTCTACGAGCGGTACTCACCCACATGCAGGCGGGGGCGGAGGGGAACCTACCACACCACGCCCTCATCCGAGACCTGGAAGCCAGGCTGCCGGTTCCAGCCAGGCTGACCCTGTCAGAAGCCCGCTCCACACACCCCAGGGGCCAGCTGCAGGAGCGGCTCTCCCGCGACATCAACCACCTACGCGCGGAAGAACTGTTCGCAGACACCCTACTGGATAGGCCGGGCAGGGAGAACGCCCATGGCACTCGACTGACGGCGCTGCGGGGAACAGGGGCGGGGGACTGGCTGCTCGCTATCCCCACTCGGCCGGACCTGACCTTCTCTCCAGGGGAGTTCAGCACAGCACTGGCTTTTAGGATGGGCCTACCCCAGCCAGTATCCGGGGGCTGCTCATGCGGGGACCATATCCCGGACCCCAGTCTACCCAACCACGTCCTCCGGTGCAAGCGTGGAGGCTATGTGAAGCGCCTCCATGACGCCCTGGTTTTCTCGGTCCTGCGCATGGTTCGGGAGGCCAAGTACTACACCTACCATGAGACCACCCACTTCACGACCCTCACCAACCGGAAGCGAGCAGACCTGGCAATCCGGGACATGGAGAGTGGGGAGACCTGGGTAATTGATGTCACAGTGACGGACCCGGTCCTACAGCGGCGAGACACAGACGCAGGGGGATTACCGGGATGGGCAGCACTGGAAGCGGCGCGGGCCAAGGAAAGAATATACAAGGACCGGCCTAACTGGGTGGGGTTCTTTGCCCTGGCGGTAGAGACCTATGGGGCTCTCGCACCGGCCACAGCACGATGTCTCAGGATGATGGCGAACCATGCGGCACTGTGTCGGTTCCGGGCCAGTCCGCTCTCGATACCTGCCGAGAAACTATACTCCCTGTTCTGGCAGCGCTGGGCGGTCCTACTGCAGAGGTTGCAAGCCAGCACTCTCATAACTAGGTCAGGGGCGGCTCTACAGGCAGCATACCCGCCACCTTTGGGTGACCCCTGGTCTCCCTCCCTTGGGGACCTATGGGGGACTTTAGATGTGGAGGACCTGGTGGGCAGGGGGGAATAGAGGGGAGGGGCAGGTGGTGAGGGAGCTTGCGGGCCTTGGGTGCCTAAACCCTCATTCCAACAGGGATGATGTTGCTTAGTTGTACCCAGGATTTCTCAATGATAAGGACCGCTTGAGAGAGAGAGAGAGAGAGAGAGAGAGAGAGAGAGAGAGAGAGAGAGAGAGAGAGAGAGAGAGAGAGAGAGAGAGAGAGAGAGAGAGAGAGCGAGAGAGAGAAAGAGAGAGAGAGAGTGAGAGAGAGAGAAAGAGAGAGAGAGAGAGAGAGAGAGAGAGAGAGAGAGAGAGAGAGAGAGAGAGAGAGAGAGAGAGAGAGAGAGAGAGAGAGAGGGAGAGAGAGAGAGAGAGAGAGAGAGAGAGAGAGAGAGAGTGAGAGAGAGAAAGAAAGAGAGAGAGAGAGGGAGAGAGAGAGAGTGAGAGAGAGAGAGAGAGAAAGAGAGAGAAAGAAAAAGAGAGCGAGTGTGTGTGTAAGAGAAAGAGTGAGAAAGAGAGGGAAGGGGTAAGATGGAGAGGAAAAAGAGCACGAGGAGGAAACCACGCACATCGGGAAGGACACGCGGAAGCGCCTCCTAAGATAAGGCGCTGGCCTAGCCATGTGGTAGGCAACACACGATCATGGGCTGCCCGATTTGGCACCAACACCTTATTGCAACGCCATCTCCCCTCTCGACCCGAAACGCTGCAGGACCCGAACACGGATGGCCACTCGACCGGCACGACCCCTACGAATACGCCGTCACGAACAAGGACGTCACGATCATGCGAAGCCGACTGCGCCACGCCCTGCATTGGTGGTGCTCGTGGTGCGATAGCAGTTTCATAATATCTATAACCGCCAAAGGCTATTGGCTGCCCTGGAAGCACACAGCCCCGCCCTCCTTCGACGACAAGAACCATGCCGGCGTTCACACGCACCTTGACTTCACTCGCGAAGCAATTCAAGAACTTGTTGCCACTGGCTCTGCCGTGCCAGTCCCCACGCGAGACACGCTGACCTGCGCTAGTCCTTTGAACGTTGTTGAGCAGCGTAACAAATGTCGCCTCATTCTCGACCTTCGCAAAGTCAACGCCCACCTCGCAATTCCAAAGTTCAAGTATGAAGGCTTGAATCGGGTAGCCGAACTCATCCGTCCCGGCGACTGGATGTTCTCCATCGACCTGAAGTCCGGCTATCACCACGTCGAGATGCACCCCTCCTCCTGGAAGTACTTGGGCTTCCAATTTGAGGGCGCGTACTACTCCTTCCGCTCGCTGCTGTTTGGTCTCGCCACCGCCCCGTTCGTTTTCACCCAGCTAATCAAACAGTTGGCAAAGCGGTGGAGGGCCAGTGGCCTACGCGTCGTCCCGTACGTCGACGACCTCCTATTCCTTTGCATCTCATACACACGTGCGCTCAGCATGCGCCGCTGTTACCCAAGACCTAAAGGCGGCTGGTTTTGTTATCAACGGGAAAAAATCGCACCTCCACCCCACGCGCCTGATCCACTTCCTCGGCCTGGAGGTCGACGCAGTTCGCGGCAAATTCTCTATTGGTCACGAACGACGAGCTCGGCTCCTAGCCACACTCATCGACATCATCGCCCAGGGCCAAGCAGGACGACGAGTCCCCATCCGCTCCCTTGCGCAAGTCACTGGAATGCTGGCCTCCATGACCCTAGCATTGGGCACCACAGCACGAGCCTTCAGTCATGAGCTCCTGCAACTCATCGCCGACGCCACGTCTTGGCATGACAGTCAAACTACCTCCGCCCGCATTAACAGAGCTACGCTTCTGGCTTTTGCACTTCGACCAATTCAACGGCGCCGCATTCCATCTCAGTCACCAATACGACGCTGTCATCCACGTTGATGCAAGTGCCCACAGCTGGGGTGCCACCCTCACTCAACTGCCTGGCACGCACATCGAGGCCAGCGATCGCATGCCAAAAGAGCTCATGCCCACCTCCAGCACTCGAAGGGAACTCGAAGGCATCCTTTGGGCACTCCGGACATTCACCACCCACCTCGTCAAGCGTCACGTGCTCGTTCGCGTCGACAACCAAGGGGTGGTGTTCATCCTTCGTAAGGGCGGCTCACGCCACCCCTCACTCACGCTGCTATGTCAAGCGATCATCAGACTGTGCTTGGAAAACCGGACACGATTCGCTGTCGAATGGATTCCGAGAGAATTGAATGCCCACGCGGATGAGCTCTCGAAAGTCCAAGACTACGACGACTACTCTCTTCAAACCCCTTGGTTCCGGCTCTTGGATCGTCGACTTGGACCTCACTCCATCGATCTTTTTGCCAATGTACGCAATGCCCATCTGCAGCGTTTCTGTTCCAAGATCCCCCATCCTGAGGCAACAGCGATTGACGCTTTCTCACTCAACTGGCAGCACGAGTACGGCTTCGCATTTCCCCTGCCCCACCTCATTCCAGCCACCCTGCGACATGCCCAACGCACACGCGCTGAGCTAACATTGGTCATCCCTGAATGGCCCGGCGCATCATGGTGGCCACTCCTCCAGCTAGCACCCCGTGTGTGGGCGCCGGAGATAGTAGCCCATATCCCACTCACCCATGGCACCCAATGTCTCCGCCCTGGCACACACTCGCTCGCTTTCGCCGGCCAAGGCCTGCCTCATAGCCAGATGATTGCCTTGCATGTAACCTACAAGATATAACTCCTCCATGTATGGTGTATATTTTCAGGCATGCTGTCGAAGTTAAAGACACAATTACTGCGCATAACCACCCACGTCCGGGCGCCCTCCACTATCAAGACCTATGACCCATACTGGCAGAAATTTCGCTCATTCTCCGCGAAATTCAAGCTCGGCTATCTGCCAGCCACGGACATGACCCTGGCTCTCTATCTTGTTCACACGCTCAATCACCAAGCAACCGCCTCTGCCATATCCCTCACATGCTCCGCCATCTCTTTTGCACACCGGATGACTGGCGAACCCTCCCCCAGGAACGGCCCTTTCACGGTACAAGTATGCGAATTTGCCAAGCGCCATGGGGCAGGCCCCACAAGGAATAAGGAACCCTTGTCGCTCCACCAAGTCCATACTATGGCCCGTCCCTTCCTCGAATCAACTAACCCAGCCACATACGAGAAGGGTCTCATCCCGCTGCTCATGTTCGCAGCATTCCTACGCTACTCGGACCTCGTCAGCATCCAGTGGAATGACATACAGTTTGAGGACAAGGCAATGTGGGTCCTGATCCCACACTCCAAGACAGATCAGGAAGGCAAAGGCACCTGGGTCCCCATTGCCACTACAACCACACCCTATTGCCCCGTCAGCTGCACGCGGCGCTTCATTCACCTTGCAGGCCACACCGCCACCCCACACGGGCCTCTGATTCGCGTCTTCGCAACCAGAGGCAAGGCCACCCCACGAGACGCCGCACCTTCAAACATAACCATTAGGAATTGGTGTCTGGAAGCCTTTGCCGCAGCAAGCCTCGACCCCACCAATCTCGGCACCCACTCTTTCCGCAAGGGCGCCGCGACCGCAGTGGCCAGCCTGGGGATACCTGACAGGCTTTTCAAGCGTCTAGGCCGATGGCGCAGCGACAGTGCGAAGGAGCTATACGTCACTATCGCGCAAGACCACCTTCTTGCAGCCTCCACACAGCTTCAAGATCCATCCGCAGCCCCATCGCCCAACAACCACCAGCTGTCCATCGAGCGGCAACGCCGACCCGTCCTCCACATGCCTCAGAAGACCCATATGAAATGAAGCACGCTGCCTTTCAAGAGGACATAAGCAAGCTTTCACAATATGTAATTTTTTTTAAGCGTGTAGCGCTTTCTAAAAATGTGTATTGTGATAGTGTAGCAAGGGCCAACGCAGCAAAGGCAGCGGCGAAGCGCACCTAACTCTCTTTTGCATTCAAAAGAGGAACGTGAGGCCTCTCGGCCTCATCCACGTTCTTCATTTCTAGTTCAACTCATTTGAGTTTCCCCGCCCACCCACCCTATCTATGTGTTGAGTAGTTTATTGGACGAGAACCAATGTATGTCCCCCATATGAAATGAAGCACGCTGCCTTTCAAGAGGACCTAAGCAAGCTTTCACAATTCCTGATTCTCCAGATGAAATGAAATTGGATTTCTGAAATTTGATATGGAACCTTTTATATTTTCTGATCGCGGTAGTCCCACTTAGCAGTGGTAAAATCGCGTGCCACATGGTGGAACAAAACTTCCGAGTTGATTTTTTCAATGCCTATGGGACACTAGGTCGGTGGGGCACGTTCAAAAAAATTGTGGCGAAAAAAAAACAAGAGACGACGCAATTGTTTTAGGGTTGCGGAGCCCTTTTTCTATATATGTATTTTTTTAAAGAATGTATATGCGTCAGCTAATTATCAAGCTTCGATGTGAAATTATCTGTTAACATCTAATAATAATCTCACATATACTAAATAAAATATTCAATCAATGGTGAATGTCATATCATTGCATTCAAAAACAGTACATACAATGTCACTACATCTAATGCTGTTAGAAATAGTTGCATAGTTGGCTTTCATGCACAAATGTGTTTACTCTGCTTAGGTGCGCTTTAAGTTATACCTTTCAAAGAAGCTTAGGAAACTAGCTAGGTAGCTAGGATGAAGGAACGTAGGTAGGCCGCCACTAGGAAACTAAGAAGGCCGCCATGAATGTGGCGGCGGGGTTTAGCTAGGAGGGTAGGAAAAGTGTCGAGAGAAAAGAGATTGGACTAGGAAGAGAGAGGCATACAAGGAGGATTTTGTACCCTCTATAGTAAGGTTCAGTTACCTACCAAGCCTACAAATTATATAACACACTATATAATTTTGACAATACCATGTGCATCAGAGTTTGCGCTCCTGATTCAAAATCGTGCCACGCTGTTTGAATTGGTTCTTCTTCTTCGTTTCTGCTTGTACAGTATTCTGCAACGTTTTGTTCCCTATTGTTCCGCTGTAGCCCAATTTTAGGAATGAATCTTCTGTTTTGTGTGCGTTTGGATTATTTTTTTTCCGCCTTTCCGCCAAATGCCCTGCCCCTGGGAGTTTTCGTTGTGATCTTGTTTGATTGTGTGGTTACTGTTTCCGCTGTAGACGACTTGTGGCGAACAAATCTGGCCACCTGGCGATTTTTGTTTTATTTCCCAAGACACACGCAACTGCCAGACGGAAGTAAAATCTGACGTGGCAATGACACCCGCCTAGCCACACTCGCCACAGGATACTGATTTTTGTTTTCGTCAAGCACTGGCAAAACCCCCGAAATCGCCACTGGACGTATTACGTGCTACATACTCGCTTTCTGAAATTACACTGCCATTAATTCCCGTTAAAAAACATCATTACGCGAATTTCAGTGTCACGGGACAGTTTCTGACCGAAAACAAAAGCTTCTTCAGAGCTGCAAAAAACATGGCTCCAACGCAGCTGGTCCGCTCGAGGGTTCAGAGATTCTAAAAAACGTGGTTGTTTCTGCCCTACTCTTCGAACATCTTCTCTATTCTTCCTCCATATCCTAATCTCACATGTTTCTTTCTTCCAG